TTAGATTTTTTATTTGTGGGCCCCGCTATCAAATTGGTTCATATTGATTTTGGACATTGAACCATAATAGGTAAATTAAAAAAATTCAAGTTCTTAGACCACATTCTTTCTGTGTCAGAAACCTATGCTGTGTCAAATATTTAATCAAAATCCAAATTCAGAGCTGTATCAAACTTGAATGTTGTTTCCATACTTGCCCCAACTGTTCAGGGTTCGACCTCTGCGGTCGTATCAAGCTGTGCCCAGCAAAGCATTTTATTGTAACTTCCAGACATAACATTTTTCTAGTTTTCAGACAATAACTTGTGTTCAAGTGTATGGATCTCGCTGAAATTGTACTGCAAGGTACCATTCCACAAAGGGAAAGCTAGGATTGAATTTGGGGGTAATTGCCTCAAAATTTTAGGAATTAGGGGCAAAAAAGGGGCAAAAAACAAGCATTGTTCTAGTTTCAGGACAATAACTTGTGTGTAAGTGTATGGATCTTTATGAAATTGTACTACAAGGTTCCATATCACAAAGGGAAAGCTGGGTTTGAGGTTGGGGTAATTGCCTTAAACGTTTAGGAATTTGGGGCCAAAAAGGGGCCAAAAAACAAGAATTTTTCTAGTTTCCAGTCAATATATAACTTGTGTTCAAGTGTATGGATATCTCTGAAATTGTACTGCAAGGTACCATACCACAAAGGGAAGGCTGGGATTGAGTTTGGGGGTATTGAATCATAAGGGGGTTCAAAAAATTTGGGGAGGGGATTTTTTTTTCCTTTTTTCCCTTTTTTTTTCTTTAAAATTTTCCATTTTAAATTGGTTATTTCTGATTTATATTTAAAAGCAAATAATAATGATATGGTTTCAATAGGTATAATTAAAAAATTTTAAGTTCTTAACCCACATTCATTCTGTGTCTGAAACCTATGCTGTGTCAAATATTTAATCACAATCCAAATTCAGTGCTGTATCAAGCTTAAATGTTGTGTCCATACTTGCCCCAACTGTTCAGGGTTTGACCTCTGCGGTGGTATCAAGCTGCACCCAGCGGAGCATTTTATTACTCAATCTAATTCTATTTACTGAAATTTAGTGCACATTAAAAGTGATTAAAGTCATCATGGCACAAACTGGCCAACACTTAATTATAGCTAAAATAGAAAATTTGACAAATAAGAAAATACAAAAATCCTGAAAGAATCATGTCAAGGATTGATTACTACCAACCTTTGGTTAAATTAAGATCTCTTTGATATTATGGTTCATTAAAAACCCTATTGTCCATAAAACATGATTTTCACTGTGACTAAAAATAGTCAGGAGCCTGTTGTTCAGTGGTTGTCGTTTAGTGGTGTGGTTCATAGGTGTTTCTCGTTTCTCGTTTTTTATATAGATTACACCGTTGGTTTTCCTGTTTGAATTGTTTTACACTAGTCATTTTGGGGCCCTTTATAGCTTGCTGTTTGGTGTGAGCCAAGGCTCTGTGTTGAAGGCCGTACTTTTACTTATAATTTTTAACTTTTTATACATTGTGACTTGGATGGAGAGTTGTCTCATTGGCACTCATACCACATCTTCTTATTTATATAGACAAGTTCAATACAACAAATTATCAAAAAGTATGTAAAAGACCAAACTTGTAGAACTTGTGGTTGATGAAAATATGTGCTAACCACTTTTATTAAAAATAGAAAATTGGACACAAAAAAAAAATAGAAAAATAATTTGAAAAAATCATGTATAAATAAAAAAAATAAGAAGATGTGGTATGATTGCCCATGAAACAACTCTCTACCAGAGACAAAATGACATAGAAGTTAACAACTATAGGTCACTGGTCACCATACAGCCTTCAACAATGAGCAAATCCCATACTGTATAGTCCCTTATAACTACCAAACTAAATCCATTGATGACAATACAGGTTTTACAGTCTTTGGTCTTGTTTGTTACAATCTGTTTTTTATACGACCGCAAAAAAATTTTGTGGTCGTATATTGGTATGACGTTGGCGTCGTCGTCGTCGTCGTCGTCGTCCGGCGTCGTCGTCCGAATACATATTGGTTTTCGCGCTCTAACTTTAGTTTAAGTGAATGGATCTTTTTGAAATTTGACCATAAGGTTAAATACCACAAAAGGAAGGTTGGGATTGATTTTGGGGGTTATGGTACCAATAGTTAAGAAATTAGGGGCCAAAAAGGGGCCAAAAATGAGCATTTTCTAGTTTCCAGACAATAACTGTGGAACGGTGTATGGATCTCTCTGAAATTATACTACAAGTTTCCATACCACAAAGGGATGGTTAGGATTTGCTTTGGGGGGTTATGGCTCAAACCGTTTAGGAATTAGGGGCAAAAAAGGGGGAAAAACAAGGTTGTCCTGGTTAATGGACAAATACTTTAGTACAAAACATAATTTAAAGCAGTGTAAGGGAGATAAATCAAATACATCATTGAAATTATCTCCCTTACACTGCTTTTAAATTATGTATAAAGTAATGGTTAATGAACAATAAAGATAATCTAAAACAGTGTAAGGGAGGTAATCCAAATACAACGTTTTGGTTACTTCCCTTATACTGCTTTTAAATTATGTTTAAAGAAATGCATATTTATAAAGGAAGACCAGTAAAAATATCTGCAAATGTTTTCATCTTTTTTTTTTACAAAAAAATCCATATGAAAGATTTGACACTATATTTTTATTAATTCTATTATAAAATAGATTAAGTTAGCACTATGGTAAATTTAAATGGGTAATTATGGTTGCCAACTCCATTGGAAATTTGAATTGAGATTATGACCATATCTTGAGGGAAAGAATTTTTTTGGGGGAAAAAGGGGGGGGGATAAAGAGAAATTGTGGGGGGCCAATTTTTTCTCATTTCAGATTTCAGAAATTAAAAAGAATTATTCTTCAAATATTTTTTTTTTTTCAAATTTCAAATATTGAAAAATTTCAAGAAGTAATCTTTAATTGCACAGTATGGCGCATTAGATTTGTAAAATCTTTGATCACATTTATTTATTTGTTATGCCGAATCTAACAGTGTATTTAGATTTTTAATTTTGGGTCCAGTTTTCAAATTGGTCTACATTAATGTCCAAAGGGTCCAAAATTAATCTTTGTTTGATTTTAGCAAAAATTGAATATATGAGGTTCTTTGATATGCTGAATCTAAACATGTATTTAGATTTTTGATTTTTGGCCCAGTTTTCAAGTTGGTCCAAATTGGGGTCCAAAATTAAACTTTGTTTGATTTCAACAAAAATTGAATATATGGGGTTCTTTGATATGCTGAATCTAACCATGTATTTAGATTTTTTATTTGTGGACCCCATTATCTAATTGGTTCATATTGAGGTCAAAAGGGTCCAAAATTAAACTTTGTTTGATTTCATCTAAAATTGAATTCTTGGGGTTCTTTGATATTCCAAATCTAACCGTGTATTTAGGTTTTTAGTTTTGGGTCCTGTTTTTTAAATTGGTCTGCATTGAGGTCCAAAGGGTCCAAATTAAACTTAGTTTGATTTTAACAAAAATTGAATTCTTGGGGTTCTTTGATTTGCTGAATCTAAATTTGTGTTTAGATTTTTGATTATGGGCCCAGTTTTCAAGTTGGTCCAAGATAGGGTCCAGTATTTAAACTTTGTTTGATTTCAACAAAAATTGAATATATGGGGTTCTTTGATATGCTGAATCTAAACATGTATTTAGATTTTTGATTATGGGCCCAGTTTTCAAGTTGGTCCAAATTGGGGTCCAAAATTAAACTTTGTTTGATTTCAACAAAAATTGAATATATGAGGTTCTTTGATATGCTGAATCTAACCATGTATTTAGATTTTTTATTTGTAGGCCCCGCTTTCAAATTGGTTCATATTGAGGTCAAAAGGGTCCAAAATTAAACTTTGTTTGATTTCATCGAAAATTGAATTATTGGGGTTCTTTGATATGCCAAATCTAACCGTGTTTTTAGATTTTTAATTTGGGTCCCGTTTTTTAAATTGGTCTTCATTGAGGTCCAAAGGGTCCAAAATTAAACTTAGTTTGATTTTAACAAAAATTGAATTCTTGGGGTTCTTTGATATGCTGAATCTAAACATGTGTTTAGATTTTTGATTATGGGCCCAGTTTTCAAGTTGGTCCAAGTTGGGGTCCAAAATTATACTTTTTTTGATTTCAACAAAAATTGAATATATGGGGTTCTTTGATATGCTGAATCTAACCATGAATTTAGATTTTTTATTTGTGGGCCCCGCTATCAAATTGGTTCATATTGAGGTCAAAAGGGTCCAAAATTAAACTTTGTTTGATTTCATCAAAAATTGAATTATTGGGGTTCTTTGATATTCCAAATCTAACCGTGTATTTAGATTTTTAATTTTAAGTCCCGTTTTTTAAATTGGTCTACATTAAGGTCCAAAGGGTCCAAAATTAAACTTAGTTTGATTTTAGCAAAAATTGAATTCTTGGGGTTCTTTGATATGCTGAATCTAAACATGTGTTTAGATTTTTGATTATGGGCCCAGTTTTCAAGTTTGTCCAAGTTGGGGTCCAAAATTAAACTTTGTTTGATTTTAACAAAAATTGAATATATGGGGTTCTTTGATATGCTGAATTTAACCATGTATTTTGATTTTGGACACTGGACCATAATAGGTAAATTAAAAAAATTCAAGTTCTTAGACCACATTCTTTCTGTGTCAGAAACCTATGCTGTGTCAAATATTTAATAACAATCCAAATTCAGAGCTGTATCAAGCTTGAATGTTGTGTCCATACTTGCCCCAACTGTTCAGGGTTCGACCTCTGCGGTCGTATCAAGCTGCGCCCCAGCGAAGCATTTTATTTTCTATTGGAGAATGGGTTACAAAGAAGGGAATGGAGCCCCAGGTTACCCTTGCTGCTTTAGTTAAATTATCCTGATTTCATTTTATTAAAAAAGGATATACTATAAGTAAATGAATGTTGTGTAGACTGTATTTATTGAATAACATATTTTGTTGACAGTTTTGATAGTGCCTGGTACATCTTAGGACAACAGAATGTGGCCAAGTTTAATGAGGTTGCAAAGAACACTATAAGCATCCACATGGGACTTATCAGATTATCAGAGTTTGAATCGGATGTACTGATAACATTCAATGATCCTGTCAATATAGAGTAGGTACTATCGAGGAGAGGGGAGAGTTTGAATCGGATGTACTGATAACATTCAATGATCCTGTCAATATAGAGTAGGTACCTTAGGGGAGAGTTTGAATCGGATGTACTGATAACATTCAATGATCCTGTCAATATAGAGTAGGTACCATCGGGGAGAGGGGAGAGTTTGAATCAGATGTGCTGATAACATTCAATAATCCTGTCAATATAGAGTAGGTACCATCGGGGAGAGGGGAGAGTTTGAATCGGATGTACTGATAACATTCAATGATCCTGTCAATATAGAGTAGGTATCATCAGGGAGAGGGGAGAGTTTGAATCAGATGTACTGATAACATTCAATGATCCTGTCAATATAGAGTAGGTACCATCGGGGAGAGGGGAGAGTTTGAATCAGATGTACTGATAACATTCAATGATCCTGTCAATATAGAGAAGTTACTTTAGGGGAGAGTTTGAATCGGATGTACTGATAACATTCAATGATCCTGTCAATATAGAGAAGGTACCATCAGGGAGAGGGGAGAGTTTGAATCAGATGTACTGATAACATTCAATGATCCTGTCAATATAGAGTAGGTACCATCGGGGAGAGGGGAGAGTTTGAATCGGATGTACTGATAACATTCAATGATCCTGTCAATATAGAGTAGGTACCATTGGAGAGAGGGGAGAGTTTGAATCGGATGTACTGATAACATTCAATGATCCTGTCAATATAGAGTAGGTACTATAGGGGAGTGGGGAGAGTTTGAATTGGATGTACTGATAACATTCAATGATCCTGTCAATATAGAGTAGGTACCATAGGGGAGAGTTTGAATCAGATGTACTGATAACATTCAATGATCCTGTCAATATAGAGTAGGTACCATCGGGGAGAGGGGAGAGTTTGAATCGGATGTACTGATAACATTCAATGATCCTGTCAATATAGAGTAGGTACCGATGGAGAGAGGGGAGAGTTTGAATCGGATGTACTGATAACATTCAATGATCCTGTCAATATAGAGTAGGTACTATAGGGGAGTGGGGAGAGTTTGAATTGGATGTACTGATAACATTCAATGATCCTGTCAATATAGAGTAGGTATCATAGGGGAGAGGGAAGAGTTTGAATCGGATGTACTGATAACATTCAATGATCCGGTCAATATAAAGTACATACCATAGGGGAGAGTTTGAATCAGATGTACTGATAACATTCAATGATCCTGTCAATATAGAGTAGGTACCATCGGGAGAGGGGAGAGTTTAAATTGGATGTACTGATAACATTCAATGATCCTGTCAATATAGAGTAGGTACCATCAGGGAGAGGGGAGAGTTTGAATCAGATGTACTGATAACGTTCAATGATACTGTCAATATAGAGTAGGTACTATAGGGGAGAGAGGAGAGTTTGAATGGGATGTACTGATAACATTCAATGATCCTGTCAATATAGAGTAGGTACCATCAGGGAGAGGGGAGAGTTTGAATCAGATGTACTGATAACATTCAATGATCCTGTCAATATAGAGTAGGTACCATCGGGGAGAGGGGAGAGTTTATATAGGATGTACTGATAACATTCAATGATCCTGTCAATATAGAGTAGGTACCATAGGAGAGAGGGGAGAGTTTGAATCAGATGTACTGATAACATTCAATGATCCTGTCAATATAGAGTAGGTACCATCGGGGAGAGGGGAGAGTTTGAATCAGATGTACTGATAACATTCAATGATCTTGTCAATATAGAGTAGGTACTTTAGGGGAGAGGGGAATGACATGTGTGATATTAAGTTGTAAGTAAGGATGATTGAAAGATATTACTACATTTAGAAAACATGCTTTCTATTGAAGAAAAAAGGTTACTGGACAGAACATAAGTTTACAAAACTTCAAAACACTGATATTACATGAAAACAAAATCAGACATGAATGCTTCTTGTTTGCAAGTAACATAGGAAAACTTAAAAAGATTTACACCTTGGCAAAATGTTGGAGAAATAAAATCTATTGTTTTTTTTCTGACTTGTAAAACTAAACATGCTGATGGGTAAGAAATTATATTGTTCATTTGTTTTGTGAACCTGAGTATCTCTATCACTTATTGACAGATTTCTGTTTAAAAAACTTTTTCAAATATAATCAACACAAATGTTGTTGTTTTCTCAATTTTGTTCTAAAACAGTTGCTAAAAATATAAAAAGTTTTTCCCATGTACCTCATATGACAGTCTTAATTTAATATCAAACCTTTTCTTTCAGCCCATCCAGTAGTAGTCACCATGCTGTACCTACACATTGTATCAGATGGTCCGTAGAAGATTTTAAACAGCTGCTGATGTCATTCAAGCTTCATGATACAGGGATATTTGGTGTATAATGACAGCTGATATGATATAATATCCACCCCCATGGATAATAAATAGTTCATAAACATCAATAAGAATTGTAATATCGTATGACAGATTATTTAGTGGGTGTGAAAATTTAGCAATTTATCGCAATAGTTGTGGAATTTGCATGGAAAAATTGCTAATGTGAATTTAGATTTAGTAAAAAAATTGGCACATTTAAAAAGAATGCCAACAATGCCAAAATTTGCACCCTGCTAAGATAATCTGTGATGTGGTAGCATGTAGAAACTATTGTAATGTGAAGGGCCATTCCAGAAAAATGACCATACAGGGAAAGGGAGGGTCTGAAGTATTGTTACTTTATAAAAATGTTAGCAGTGATTGGTAGTATCATGCAACTATGGTATAATCAGGGAAAAAAATTCCAAGGTTAAGGTTTGTAAAATGTCACAGAACCGATTATGTGTTTATTTCTGGAATAGCTCTAGGTATAAAGTGTGTTTTTTAAACTCTGGAATCATTTATAACATTTAAAGCTTATCTGATTAACCACACAGTTTTAATATGGTGAAATAGCACATATGATATCTAAATTTAATATATAGATCATAATAACTATGATTTTTTCTTTTTATAGAGTTATCTCCAATGATGAAAAATGAAATGTTTTTGTCTATTTTGCCAAAATCTTTTAAGAACATATCAATATTATACATTTTGATGGATGTTTTATTTCATCCATGATTTACTTAATGCTTGTATGTAGACTTTGGTAAAACCATGAAATCAAATATCAAATATTCATGAACAAAAAAACAATTTTTATACAATCCACAAAATTTGTTACCCAAAAAAAATTAAGTGTATTATCAGAAAAAGTGATTGATTTTTGATTTTTTGAAATAAGTTTGATAAAGAAGACATTTAGATTTTGAAACATAAGTATTTTGTTTTAAACTTACTCCTCTAATGTTGACATAAATTTTTAAACCATTGAATGCATGATGACCTATTTTTTAATGCAAAAAATTTCTTACAAATTTTCATGTTCATAATATTTGTAAAAGATTTAAGTCATTAGGGACCAGTATTGATATTAAAAGACCAACTGAAGAACTCTGAGATAAAATCAGATAGCTTATGAAATTATTGTATAAAAATTGGTGTATCAACTAATGTTTTACTTGTATCAAGTTTCTTCCATATTACTTTATTTTTAGATTAAAAAAGTAAACAAATATTTTATGTTATTTGCACTGTAAAATAGTATATAAAATACTATAAGCCATTATTTTTACATGAACAATATGTTTCTTTATAAGTTATTGATGATATTATGCAGAAATAAAAGTTCACAAAATTGTTTGCCTTATCTGCTTCATGTCCAAATTCTTGATTTTCACCCAAAAAAAACATTTTTGTCTTTTATATGAAGTATATTTGTACTATGAGGGGGGGGGGGGGGGGGGGGGGGGGGGGGGTAGGAGGGGTCCTGATCCCGAAATCCCGGGCTTAATATCATGGACTCTTGAGGTCCCGAATTTAAAAAAAAATTTAAATCCAGACATCCCGAAATTCGAAAAAAGAATTCCCGGATCCCGAAAGGATCAATCCTGAAATCTGAGCTTAAAAACACCCGATCCCGCAATCCTGATAAAGGTCCTACCCCCCCCCCCCCACCACCACCACTATGCACAAAAAAGGAAAGGAATGATTGGCAAGTCTTATATGTCTACCTGTTTCTAAAACTTCTAAAAATAAATTATTTGTTTGCAGTTTGCAAGCAATTTATGGTTATTCTGTATTTAGATATTGATTGTTTAAATAAATTGAGATGAGTATAGTTTGTTTTTTATATGAAATATATTTGTAATCTGTACATTAAAACAGGAAAGAAATGATCGTCAAACTTCTTATTTTTACCTGTTTCTAAGACTTTTTCAAATATATATATTCATAGACTATTTATGCTTATTCAGTATTAAGACATTGATTGATTTTAACTGAGACAAGTACAAAAATGTACTATGATTTTGAAATGTGTGATTTAAAGACTTATGAATGTAAATTGTCTTGGAAAACATGATTTATCTTTATGAGGTTTAGAAGGTGGTAAAAAAACTTGTTGTCCAATCATTTCTTGGCAGCTGTATGTTTATTACAAATATAAACATTTATATCTGAAGAAATATGTACTGTGGATTAATTTATTAAGACTTAACTAAAATCTTTAGATTAGTATATCGATTGTTAGATGTTAAAATTTAATGCATGACTGTATATTTTTGTAAGAAATAAACTATTCTCAGAAGACCAATTTATTTCAATAAGTTATCATTTGATGTCTAAACACCAAGTAGCCAGTGCATAATGTGTTAATTAGTCCCCTACCAAGGAAGTCGAAGGGGACTTTAGGTTTGCACTCTGTCCGTCTGTCCATCCGTCAGTCCGGCAACTCAGTTTTCCACACTTTTTTTCTTCGTTCTTGAAGATATTGATTTGATATTTGGTATATAGTTTTATCATGACAAGTTATAAATCAAGTTCGAATTTTGTTCCGGTCTGATGATTTAGTCCAGAGTAATGGTCCATAAAAAAACTCCATAACTAATGTTAGAGTACTATGTTAAACCATATATCTGTACAAAGGGAGATAACTCATTTTTAAAAGACATTTTTGTGCCTGTCCCAAGTCAGGAGCCTCTGGCCTTTGTTAGTCTTGTATCATTTTTATACGACCGCAAAAAAATTTTGTGGTCGTATATTGGTATGACGTTGGCGTCGTCGTCGTCGTCTGGCGTCGTCGTCGTCGTCGTCGTCGTCGTCCGGCGTCGTCGTCCGAATACATATTGGTTTTCGCACTCTTTGTTTGATTTCAACAAAAATTGAATATATGAGGTTCTTTGATATGCTGAATCTAACCATGTATTTAGATTTTTTATTTGTAGGCCCCGCTATCATATTGAGGTCAAAAGGGTCCAAAATTAAACTTTGTTTGATTTCATCGAAAATTGAATTATTGGGGTTCTTTGATATGTCAAATCTAACCGTGTTTTTAGATTTTTAATTTGGGTCCCGTTTTTATACGACCGCAAAAAAATTTTTGTGGTCGTATATTGGTATGACGTTGGCGTCGTCGTCGTCCGGCGTCGTCGTCGTCATCCGGCGTCGGCGTCGTCCGGCGTCGTCCGAAGACACATTGGTTTTCGCACTCTAACTTTAGTTTAAGTGAATGGATCTTTTTGAAATTTGACCATAAGGTTAAATACCACAAAAGGAAGGTGGGGATTGATTTTGGGGGTTATGGTACCAACAGTTAAGGAATTAGGGGCCAAAAAGGGGCCAAAAATAAGCATTTTCTAGTTTCCAGACAGTAACTGTGGAACGGTGTATGGATCTCTCTGAAATTATACTACAAGTTTCCATACCACAAAGGGATGGTTAGGATTTGCTTTGGGGGTTATGGCTCAAACCGTTTAGGAATTAGGGGCAAAAAAGGGGGAAAAACAAGGTTGTCCTGGTTAATGGACAAATACTTTAGTACAAAACATAATTTAAAGCAGTGTAAGGGAGATAAATCAAATACATCATTGAAATTATCTCCCTTACACTGCTTTTAAATTATGTATAAAGTAATGGTTAATGAACAATAAAGATAATCTAAAACAGTGTAAGGGAGGTAATCCAAATACAACGTTTTGGTTACTTCCCTTACACTGCTTTTAAATTATGTTTAAAGAAATGCATATTTATAAAGGAAGACCAGTAAAAATATCTGCAAATGTTTTCATCTTTTTTTTTTTACAAAAAAAATCCATATGAAAGATTTGACACTATATTTTTATTAATTCTATTATAAAAAAGATTAAGTTAGCACTATGGTAAATTTAAATGGGTAATTATGGTTGCCAACTCCATTGGAAATTTGAATTGAGATTATGACCATATCTTGAGGGAAAGAATTTTTTTGGGGGAAAAAGGGGGGATGGGGGATAAAAAGAAATTGTGGGGGGCCAATTTTTTCTCATTTCAGATTTCAGAAATTAAAAAGAATTATTCTTCAAATATTATTTTTTTTTCAAATTTCAAATTTTGAAAAATTTCAAGAAGTAATCTTTAATTGCACAGTATGGCGCATTAGATTTGTAAAATCTTTGATCACATTTATTTATTTGTTATGCCAAATCTAACAGTGTATTTAGATTTTTAATTTTGGGTCCAGTTTTCAAATTGGTCTACATTAATGTCCAAAGGGTCCAAAATTAAACTTTGTTTGATTTTAGCAAAAATTGAATATATGAGGTTCTTTGATATGCTGAATCTAAACATGTATTTAGATTTTTGATTTTTGGCCCAGTTTTCAAGTTGGTCCAAATTGGGGTCCAAAATTAAACTTTGTTTGATTTCAACAAAAATTGAATATATGGGGTTCTTTGATATGCTGAATCTAACCATGTATTTAGATTTTTTATTTGTGGACCCCGTTATCTAATTGGTTCATATTGAGGTCAAAAGGGTCCAAAATTAAACTTTGTTTGATTTCATCTAAAATTGAATTATTGGGGTTCTTTGATATTCCAAATCTAACCGTGTATTTAGGTTTTTTATTTTGGGTCCTGTTTTTTAAATTGGTCTACATTGAGGTCCAAAGGGTCCAAAATTAAACTTAGTTTGATTTTGACAAAAATTGAATTCTTGGGGTTCTTTGATTTGCTGAATCTAAACATGTGTTTAGATTTTTGATTATGGGCCCAGTTTTCAAGTTGGTCCAAGATAGGGTCCAGTATTTAAACTTTGTTTGATTTCAACAAAAATTGAATATATGGGGTTCTTTGATATGCTGAATCTAAACATGTATTTAGATTTTTGATTATGGGCCCAGTTTTCAAGTTGGTCCAAATTGGGGTCCAAAATTAAACTTTGTTTGATTTCAACAAAAATTGAATATATGAGGTTCTTTGATATGCTGAATCTAACCATGTATTTAGATTTTTTATTTGTAGGCCCCGCTATCATATTGAGGTCAAAAGGGTCCAAAATTAAACTTTGTTTGATTTCATCGAAAATTGAATTATTGGGGTTCTTTGATATGTCAAATCTAACCGTGTTTTTAGATTTTTAATTTGGGTCCCGTTTTTATACGACCGCAAAAAAATTTTTGTGGTCGTATATTGGTATGACGTTGGCGTCGTCGTCGTCCGGCGTCGTCGTCGTCATCCGGCGTCGGCGTCGTCCGGCGTCGTCCGAAGACACATTGGTTTTCGCACTCTAACTTTAGTTTAAGTGAATGGATCTTTATGAAATTTTACCACAAGGTTCAATACCACAAAAGGAAGGTTGGGATTGATTTTGGGGGTTATGGTAATAACAGTAAAGGAATTAGGGGCCAAAAAGGGGCCAAAAATTAGCATTTTTGTAACTTCCAGACATAACTTGTGTGTTAGTGTATGGATATCTCTGACATTGTACCACAAGGTTCCATATCACTGAAGGAATGCTGGGATTGATTTTGGGGGTAATTGCCTCCAAATTTTAGGAATTAGGGGCCAAAAAAGGGGCAAAAAACAAGCATTTTTCTAGTTTCATGACAATAACTTGTGTGTAAGTGTATGGATCTTTCTGAAAGTGTACTACAAGGTTCCATATCACAAAGGGAAAGCTGGGTTTGAGTTTGGGGGTAATTGCCCTAAACGTTTAGGAATTTGGGGCCAAAAAGGGGCCAAAAAACACATTTTTTCTAGTTTCCAGACAATAACTTGTGTTCAAGTGTATGGATCTCTCTGAAATTGTACTGCAAGGTACCATACCACAAAGGGAAGGCTGGGATTGAGTTTGGGGGTGATGAATCATAATGGGGGTTCAAAAAATTTTGGGGGGGGATTTATTTTTTTTTCCTTTTTTTTATTTTTTTCCTTTTTTGTTTCTTTTAAAATTTTCCATTTTAAGTTGGTTATTTCTGATTTATATTTAAAATCAAATAATAATGATATGGTAGGAGATACACACCAAACAGGATGTGTAAATTATTATATAATAAGTATTGTGCAATAGCAAGAAATTTTCAATTGCACAGTATTGCACAATAGCAAGAAATCTTCAATTGCACAGTATTGCACAATAGCAAGAAATCTTCAATTGCACAGTATTGCGCAATAGCAAGAAATATCCAATAGCACAATATTGCGCAATAGCAAGAAATTGTCAATTGTACAGTATTGCGCAATAGCAAGAAATATTTAATAGCACAGGATTGTGCAAAAGAAGATACTTCCTATAAATTGCTTATTTCTTGACCAATTTCAATGGGGTTTTATTCTTGATTTCATGGGGTTCTTTAATATGCTGAATCTAACCGTGTATTTAGTTTTTGGATTTTGGGCCCCGTTTTTAAATTGGTCCACATTGAGGTCCAAAGGGTCCAAAATTAAACTTTGTTTGATTTCATCAAAAATTGAATTATTGGGGTTCTTTGATATGCCGAATCTAACTGTGTATTTAGATTCTTAAATTTTGGTTCCGTTTTCAAATTGGTCTACATTAAGGTCCAAAGGGTCCAAAATTAAACTTAGTTTGATTTTAACAAAAATTGAATTCTTAGGGTTCTTTGATATGCTGAATCTAAACATGTATTTAGATTTTTGATTATGGGCCCAGTTTTCAAGTTGGTCCAAATCGGGGTCCAAAATTAAACTTTGTTTGATTTCAACAAAAATTGAATATATGGGGTTCTTTGATATGCTGAATCTAACCATGTATTTAGATTTTTGATTTTTGGGCCCCGTTATCAACTTTGTCCACATTGAGGTCAAAAGGGTCCAAAATTAAACTTTGTTTGATTTCATCAAAAATTGAATTATTGGGGTTCTTTGATATGCCGAATCTAACCGTGTATTTAGATTCTTAATTTTTGGTTCCGTTTTCAAATTGGTCTACATTAAGGTCCAAAGGGTCCAAAATTAAACTTAGTTTGATTTTAACAAAAATTGAATTCTTGGGGTTCTTTGATATGCTGAATTTAAACATGTATTTAGATTTTTGATTATGGGCCCAGTTTTCAAGTTGGTCCAAATCGGGGTCCAAAATTAAACTTTGTTTGATTTCAACAAAAATTGAATATATGGGGTTCTTTGATATACTGAATCTAACCATGTATTTTGATTTTTGATTTTTGGGCCCCGTTATCAACTTCGTCCAGATTGAGGTCAAAAGGGTCCAAAATTAAACTTTGTTTGATTTCATCAAAAATTGAATTCTTGGGGTTCTTTGATATGCTGAATCTAACCATGTATTTAGATTTTGGATATTGGACCATAATAGGTGAATGTCCAATTTAAAATTTTTAAGTTCTTAGACCACATTCAATCTGTGTTAGAAACCTATGCTGTGTCAAATATTTAATCACAATCCAAATCCAAAGCTGTATCAAGCTTGAATGTTGTGTCCATACTTCCCCCAACTGTTCAGGGTTCGACCTCTGCGGTCGTATCAAGCTGCGCCCTGCGGAGCATTTTATTTAAATTGGTCTTCATTGAGGTCCAAAGGGTCCAAAATTAAACTTAGTTTGATTTTAACAAAAATTGAATTCTTGGGGTTCTTTGATATGCTGAATCTCAACATGTGTTTTGATTTTTGATTATGGGCCCAGTTTTCAAGTTGGTCCAAGTTGGGGTCCAAAATTAAACTTTTTTTGATTTCAACAAAAATTGAATATATGGGGTTCTTTGATATGCTGAATCTAACCATGAATTTAGATTTTTTATTTGTGGGCCCCACTATCAAATTGGTTCATATTGAGGTCAAAAGGGTCCAAAATGAAACTTTGTTTGATTTCATCAAAAATTGAATTATTGGGGTTCTTTGATATTCCAAATCTAACCGTGTATTTAGATTTTTAATTTTAAGTCCCGTTTTTTAAATTGGTCCACATTAAGGTCCAAAGGGTCCAAAATTAAACTTAGTTTGATTTTAGCAAAAATTGAATTCTTGGGGTTCTTTGATATGCTGAATCTAAACATGTGTTTAGATTTCTAGAGTTATGCCCCTTTACAAATGGAAAATTGCTGAATTTATCGTTTCCGTTCTCTAACTTTAGTTTGCCTCAACCAAATGTTTTGAAACTTATACACAATGCTTATTTCCACAAAACACAGATCAAGTTTGAATTTTGGTGGCGTCACTTTTACCGTTCTAGAGTTATGCCCCTTTACAAATGGAAAAATTGCTGAATTTTTCGTTTCTGTTCTCTAACTTTAGTTTGCCTCAACCAAATGTTTTGAAACCTATACACAATGCTTATTACCACAAAACACAGATCAAGTTTGAATTTTGGTGGCATCACTTTAACCATTCTAGAGTTATGCCCCTTTAGAAATGGAAAAATTGCAAAATTTTTATTTTCCCCTAAATATCAAGTAATTTTTTTACTTTTAAACTTTAGTTTAAGTGAATGGATCTCTATGAAATTTTACCATAACGTTCAATACCACAAAAGGAAGGTTGGGATTGATTTTGGGGGTTATGGTACCAACAGTTAAGGAATTAGGGGCCAAAAATAAGCATTTTTGTAACTTCCAGACACAACTTGTGTGTTAGTGTATGGATCTTTCTGAAATTGTACTACAAGGTTTCCATTACACAAAGGGAAAGCTGGAATTGAGTTTGGGGGTAATTGCCCAAAACTTTTAGGAATAAGGGGCCAAAAATAAGCATTTTTCTAGTTTCCAGACAATAACTTGTGTTCAAGTGTATGGATCTCTCTGAAATTGTACTGCAAGGTACGATACCACAAAGGAAAGGCTGGGGTTGATTTTGGAGGTAATTGCTTTAACATTTTAGGAATAAGGGGGCCAACAAGGGGCAAAAAACAAGCAATTTTCTAGTTTCAGGACAATAACTTGTGTGTTAGTGTATGGATCTTTATGAAATTGTACTACAAGGTTCCATATCACAAAGGGAAAGCTGGATTTGAATTTGGGGGTAATTTCCCTAAACGTTTAGGAATTTGGGGCCAAAAAGGGGCCTAAAAACAAGCATTTCTCTAGTTTCCAGACAATAACTTGTGTTCAAGTGTATGGATCTCTCTGAAATTGTACTGCAATTGTACCATACCTGGGATTGAGTTTGGGGGTGATGAATCATAAGGGAGTTCAAAAAATTTGGGGGAGGGATATTTTTTCCCTTTTTTTTCTTTGAAATTTTCCATTTTAAATTGGTTATTTCTTATTTATATATAAAAGCAAATAATAATGATATGGTTTGAATAGGAAAATTGAAAAATTTTAAGTTCTTAGACCACATTCATTCTGTGTCAGAAACCTATGCTGTGTCAAATATTTAATCACAATCCAAATTCAGTGCTGTATCAAATTTGAATGTTGTGTCCATACTTGCCCCAACTGTTCAGGGTTCAATCTCTGCGGTCGTATCAAGCTGCGCCCGGCGGAGCATATTATTAAAATTGGAGTTATCTTCCTTTGTCCATGATTATAGTTGAATCAACTACAATCAATGCTTTATACAATGCAATGTTTAATTTTGACTTCCACTGATAAAACACTGATCAAGTTGAATTTGGGTAGTGTCACTTTAATCATTATTGAGTTATGCCCCTTTATAAATCGAAAGGTTGCAAAATTTTAAGTTTCCATTCTGTAACTTAAGTTTGCCCCAACCAAACATTATGAAACCTATACACAATACTAATTACCACAAAACTAAGATCAAGTACACATTTTTATACGACTGCAAAAAATTTTGCGGTCGTATATTGGTATGACGTTGGCGTCGGCGTCATCCGGCGTCGTCCGAAGACACATTGGTTTTTGCACTCTAACTTTAGTTTAAGTGAATGGATCTCTATGAAATTTTACCATAAGGTTCAATACCACAAAAGGAAGGTTGGGATTGATTTTGGGGGTTATGGTACCAACAGTTAAGGAATTAGGGGCCAAAAATTAGCATTTTTGTAACTTCCAGACATAACTTGTGTGTTAGTGTATGGATCTCTCTGACATTGTACCACAAGGTTCCATATCACACAGGGAATGCTGGGATTGATTTTGGGGGTAATTGCCTCAAAATATTAGGAATTAGGGGCCAAAAAAGGGGCAAAAAACAAGCATTTTTCTAGTTTCATGACAATAACTTGTGTGTAAGTGTATGGATCTTTCTGAAATTATACTACAAGGTTCCATATCACAAAGGGAAGCTGGAATTGAGTTTGGGGGTAATTGCCCAAAACATTTAGGAATAAGGGGCCAAAAAGGGGCCAAAAATAAGCATTTTTCTAGTTTCCAGACAATAACTTGTGTTCAAGTGTATGGATCTCTCTGAAATTGTACCACAAGGTTCCATATCACACAGGGAATGCTGGGATTGATATTAAGGGTAATTGCCTCAAAATATTAGGAATTAGGGGCCAAAAAAGGGGCAAAAAACAAGCATTTTTCTAGTTTCATGATAATAACTTGTGCGTAAGTGTATGGATCTTTCTGAAATTGTACTACAAGGTTCCATATCACAAAGGGAAAGCAGGAATTGAGTTTGGGGGTAATTGCCCAAAACGTTTAGGAATAAGGGGCCAAAAAGGGGCCAAAAATAAGCATTTTTCTAGTTTCCAGACAATAACTTGTGTTCAAGTGTATGGATCTCTCTGAAATTGTACTGCAAGGTACCATACCACAAAGGGAAGGCTGGGATTGAGTTTGGGGGTGATGAATCATAAGGGGGTTCAAAAAATTTGGGGGGGGATTTTTTTTTTTCATTTTTTTTCTTTTTTTCCTTTTTTTTTCTTTTAAAATTTTCCATTTTAAGTTGGTTATTTCTGTTTTATATTTAAAAGCAAATAATAATGATATGGTAGGAGATACACACCAAACAGGATGTGTAAATTATTATATAATAAGTATTGTGCAATAGCAAGAAATTTTCAATTGCACAGTATTGCACAATAGCAAGAAATCTTAAATTGCACAGTATTGCGCAATAGCAAGAAATCTTCAATTGCACAGTATTGTGCAATAGCAAGAAATATCCAATAGCACAATATTGCGCAATAGCAAGAAATTGTCAATTGTACAGTATTGCGCAATAGCAAGAAATATTCAATTGCACAGTATAAATTGCTTATTTCTTGACCAATTTCAATGGGGTTTTATTCTTGAATTCTTGGGGTTCTTTAATATGCTGATTCTAACCGTGTATTAAGTTTTTGGATTTTGGGCCCCGTTTTTAAATTGGTCCACATTGAGGTCCAAAGGGTCCAAAATTAAACTTTGTTTGATTTCATCAAAAATTGAATTAATGGGGTTCTTTGATATACCGAATCTAACCGTGTATTTAGATTCTTAATTTTTGGTTCCCTTTTCAAATGGGTCTACATTACGGTCCAAAGAGTCCAAAATTAAACTTAGTTTGATTTTAACAAAAATTGAATTCTTAGGGTTCTTTGATATGCTGAATCTAAACATGTATTTAGATTTTTGATTATGGGCCCAGTTTTCAAGTTGGTCCAAATCGGGGTCCAAAATTAAAATTTGTTTGATTTCAACAAAAATTGAATATATGGGGTTCTTTGATATGCTGAATCTAACCATGTATTTAGATTTTTGATTTTTGGGCCCCTATATCAACTTTGTCCACATTGAGGTCAAAAGGGTCCAAAATTAAATTTTGTTTGATTTCATCAAAAATTGAATTCTTGGGGTTCTTTGATATGCTGAATCTAACCATGTATTTAGATTTTGGATATTGGACCATAATAGGTGAATGTCCAATTTAAAATTTATAAGTTCTTAGACCACATTGATTCTGTGTCAGAAACCTATGCTGTGTCAAATATTTAATCACAATCCAAATTCAGAGCTGTATCAAGCTTGAATGTTGTGTCCATACTTGCCCCAACTGTTCAGGGTTCGACCTCTGCGGTCGTATCAAGCTGCGCCCTGCGGAGCATTTTATTTGTTTCTGTTTTCTAACTTTAGTTTGCCTCAATCAAATGTTATGAAACTTATACACAATGCTTATTACTACATAATACAGATTAAGAACGAAATTTCTTTATAAACATAAAATTGCTGAATTTTTCGTTTCGTTTCCGTTCTCTACCTTTAGTTTGTCTCAACCAAATGTTATAAAACTTATACACAACCGTTCTAGAGTTATGCGTGTTTACAAATAGAAAAATTGCTGAATTTTTAGTTTCTGTTCTCTGTCACTGTTACCGATCTAAAGTTATGCCCCTTTTCAAATGGAAAAATTGCTAAATTTTTCGTTTCTGTTCTCTAACTTTAGTTTGCCTCAAGGAAATTTTACTAAACTTATACACAATGCTTATTACCACAAAACATAGATCAAATTTTAATTTTGGTGGCGTTACTTTTACCGTTCTAGAGTTATGCCCTTTACAGTTTCTGTTTTCTAACTTTAGTTTGCCTCAACCAAATGTTATGACACTAATACACAATGCTTATTACCACAAAACACAGATCAAGTTTGAATTTTGATGGCGTCACTAACTTTTACCGTTCTAGAGTTATGCCCCTTTACAAATGGAAAAATTGCGAATTTTTTTCAAAAATATCAAGTCATTATTCAAGTAATTTTTATACGCCCGTTTACGGGACGTATTATGGTATACCCTTGTCCGTCTGTCCGTCCGTCCGTCCATCCGTCCGTCCGTAGTCAACATGTCGGACATTAACTCAAAAACTCTTTAACCATTTGCATAAAACTTTGGTGAATTGTTTATATCTATTGACGTGAGCTCCCTTTCGTTTGTTATAAATTTAAGATTTTACGTTTTGTGAGTCATGGGGTTTTATTCATTAAAAAAAGGGGGGTTTTCCAGTTTTTGGACAATAACTCAAGAATGCTTTCGCCAACTTGCAAGAAATTGTGGTGAATTGTTTATATCTATTAACATGAGCTCCGTTTCGATTTTTATATATTTTAGACTTTACGTTTCCGAGTTACAGGGTTTTATTTATAAAAAAAGGGGGATTTTCGAGTTTTCGGACAAAAAATCAAAAATGCTTTCAGCAGTTCGTATGAAACTTTGGTGAATCTTTATATCTATTGATGTAAGCTCCGTTTAGAATTTTATAAATTCTACATTTTACATTTCTGAGTTATGGGGTTTTATTCATTAAAAAAGGGGGGATGTTCCAGTTTTCAGACAACAACTCAAAAATGCTGTCAGCAATTCTCATGAAACTTTAGTGAATTGTTTATATCTATTGATGTAAACTCCCTTTACATTTTCATAAATTTCTAATATGACATTGAGAATTAATTGAACTTTATTTGTTTGTAGTCTGACAACAGATTTACTAAGTATTGCGCAACAGCACAGTGTATTGCACAACAGCAAGAAATCTTTAGTTGAATATAAATTCAATTCATATAACCAATTTCAAGTTCTTTGACTACATTTATTCAGAAACCTATAATATGTCATAAAATATTTAATACAATCCAAATTCAGACCTGTATCAAGCTTGAATATTGTGTCCATTTTTGCCCCAACTGTTCAGGGTTGGACCTCTGCGGGCATATCCAGCTGCGCTCAGTGAAGCAGTTTATTAAAATTGGAGTTATCTTCCTTTGTCCATGATTATAGTTAAATCAACTACACTCAATGCTTTATACAATGCAATGTTTAATTTTGCCTTCCAATGATAAAACACAGATCAAGTTGAATTTGGGTAGTGTCACTTTAACCATTATTGAGTTATGCCCCTTTATAAATCGAAAAATTGCAAAAAATTTTGTTTCCATTCTGTAACATAAGTTTGCCCCAACCAAACATTATGAAACCTATACACAATACTCATTACCACAAAACTAAGATCAAGTACAAATATTGTTTCCGTACTCTAACTTTAGTTTGCCTCAACCAAATGTTATGAATCTTATACACAATGCTTATTACTACATAATACAGATTAAGTACGAAATTCGGTGGCTTCACTTTTCCATTCTTGAGTTATGTCCCTTTATAAACATAAAAATTGCTGAATTTTTCATTCCTGTTCTCTAACTTTAGTTTGTCTCAACCAAATGTTATAAAACTTATACACAACTGTTCTAGAGTTATGCGTGTTTACAAATAGAAAAATTGCTGAATTTTTCGTTTCTGTTCTCTACTTAAGTTAGCCTCAACCAAATGTTATGAGACTTACACACAATGCTTATTACCACAAAACTCAGATCAAGTTCAAATTTGGGTAGCGTCACTTTTACTGTTCTTCAGTTATGTTCCTTTATAACTATATGATATGCAAGCGGGGGCATCATCTGTGGACACATGTGGACACAATCCACATTTATTATTATATGAATTTGAGTTATTTCCCTTTGAACAGAAATTAATAATTTATTTCTTTGTCATTTGGTCTCTTGTTAATTTTTTTATTTTGAGGCCTGTCTTCAAATTGGTCCACATTTAGGTCCAAAGGGTCCAGAATACAACTTTTTTTATTTAAAAAAAAAATGAATTCTTGGTGTTCTTTGATATGCTGAATCTTAGTGGTATTTAGATTTTTGATTTTATAATTTGAAAATAGATATAAGATCATATCTAATTTTAGAGAACTATTTTTAGTGGTTAAATCATATCTAATTTTAGAGAACTATTTTTTGCTGTTTACATCACTGGTTCATGGAAATAAGTTGGAGTTATTTCCCTTTGAACAGAAATGGTTAAGTATATGGATTTTAGTCTATTAATGATTGTCTCTGTTCAATTAATTTTTTTAGTCATTAGTGGTCAAAAATTTCTTTATAACTATTTTTTTAAGTCATGTGTGTTATGAAGGTAGATGTCACAGTTGTTATGGTGTAATTCATTTTTGTTGTGTGTGTTCAATTTTTACTTGATACTGTTTGGGGGTTCAGATTTGCAAATATCATTTTCATTATTAAAATAGCTATTTTAAATATTCAATCACAATCCAAATTCAGAGCTGTTTTAAGCTTAAATGTTGTGTCCATACTTGCTCAACTGTTCAGGGTTCGACCTCTGCAGGAAAATCCGGTTTGCTGTCACACTGACAGCCTCTTGTTTTATATTTGGTCTGCAGCTTGATAATGTTGAGTTGTACCAACAAAACTATTTTTAAATTCTATAGTAGCAACTTCCTATAAATAATTTGTTTACATTTAAAAAAAAAGAAGTGAAAGATACCAAAGGAACATTCAAATTCATAAGTTGAAAACAAACTGATATTGCCATGGCAAAAACCAAGAGAAAAAAAGACAAACAACAATATGCAAAACACAACAAAAAATAAAGAATGAGCAATATGAACCCCACCAAAAAAGGTGATGACAAAAACATGTCCATTAAAACCTACTAAACTCATAAGGATGGCATTGCTTACCCCCATAGATGATATATTCATATATTTATTGTGACCAAGTCCTTTATCAGTTACCATGGTTACCTTTTAAATGTGTGTGAGTGCTTCTAACCTGTGGCACGAAGAACTGTTAATAGAATATTATACCAGTATGTGATGTTAACTGCTTTACATCCTGATCACAACAAAAGTTAGTGTGCTAAAATAAGTTTGGATAAAATTGTCTCCCCTTTGTGATATATTTTGAATACTGGCTCACAGTACTATGGATGGCCTATATATCTGTGTGAATATGCTTCCTTCAGTGACCTTTATGAAAAGTGTACAGCGAGTACAGATCTTAGCATTTAAAAACAAATGATTATCAATTACAAAGGGAACCTGGGATATACATTAATGAGACACCAACCTAACAATACACACAAAATAAAAGTACAATAACGGAAAAGAACTTTAGTTAATAACAACATTTGATAAAGTCCAAACTGAAACATCTTCTTATTATTCGTTTGTTTCCAGCATATGTCAAATGTATTTTTCTAACTGATTTCAATTTACCTATTACCCTTGTATTTTAACTCAAACGACTTTAGCATTATTTTATTTCATAGTTTATTATGCATCATGTCTTTATATTATGCTGTTTCATAAGACTTAGAAAAAGTATAAATGGTTACTAGGTTAATAGTTATTAGGAACTAGGGTTAAATGACACTTTGAAATGTGAAAAGGATTCGTCAATATGGAAGAATATGACATTTGGCTCAAACCAAATTGCCATCCGATTAGAAGACATTCACTTTTGTTATTCAATTTGATTGTAAAGCCAATACTGTTATACATCTGTCTGTCCCATTTGTCCCAAAAATAAATAGAGAATGTTTTGATCAAATTTCATGAGGCTTCTTTTAATATTTGAAAAAGCTCACTTTTAATTTTAAAGGCATTTGATTGATGGTTCCTGAGTAATTGGACTAAAACCGTCCACTTATCGTTTTGTTTGTTAATGTGCACATTACATGTATACTAATTATTTGATAAAGAAATTAAGTGTTGAAATTCACTTGGAAACCGAACATAAACTTCCTCGACATTTATTGAAGAGAAAATCCTGGACAATCACTTTAAACATAATTTCAAATTCATAAATGAAATTCCGACCAAATATGAACCTTAGTGCAGGGTCTTACTTTACTCTACTTGATGTTCAAATCACAGAGGTATCCTTACAAACAATGTTATATAGCTGGGTGTGCCAATACTCCACGAAATATTTTTCCAAATCAAAAGTATCTTTAATCTGGCTTCACAGTTACTGTAATACTATCTTATCTAAGGTCAATGTGAATCAGATTTTATAACGAAATGATTAAACAGATGTATCAAAGTTCTTTAAAATATGATTCGATAGGATTACAATTTAAAGTTATCTTCTCTTCCTCTCAATTTCAGCCGAAGATAATGTACTGGGTCTTACATTACTCTACTTGATACTCAAATCATATAAGTGTCTTTACAAACGTTAAATAGCTGTGTGTGCCAATGCTACACGAAACAACGTTATATAATTGGGTGTGCCAATGCTACACGAAACAACGTTATATAGTTGGGTGTGCCAATGCTACACGAAACAACGTTATATAACTGGGTGTGCCAATGCTACACGAAACAACGTTATATAGTTGGGTGTGCCAATGCTACACGAAACAACGTTATATAATTGGG